GTTAGCAATTTTTTAGCGCATTTTTGAAACTTGTTTCAAAAAGGTAGCTTAATAACGCACTTTGGTCGGCTGGTCGGCTGGTCGGCTGGCTGGTCGGCCGCTAAGAAAAACTTTTAATCTAGACATCGTAGAGAGTTCTAGTTTTTTGCATTAGTTCCGTTATATCGAGTTATTGGCCCGCCGGACATTTAAAAATCTTAAAACAGTGTATTTATGCTATAATTAATGAATTTTTGTTTTGTTTTCAGTGTAACCTGCTCAAATTTTATTTTACCTCTATAATTTCAATATTACCTCTATAATTTCAAAAAATTTCTAGCCGTTGTAAAATTTGAATTTCAAAAAACCGTTAAATGATAAACTTTTTTTGTATGGAAATTCATTGCAACAAATTGTTTAATTATACTATAATTAATTTTTTCGTAGTGCAACTTTTAACGGCAAAATTTCAAATTATTTACTGACCGTTAGAAAATTTGAATTACAAAAAATCGTTAAATGATAAACCCTTTCTGTATGGAAATTCATTGCAACAAATTGTTTAATTATACTATAATTAATTTTTTCGTAGTGCAACTTATAGCGGGAAAATTTCAAATTATTATTATATTGACCGTTAGAAAATTTGAATTACAAAAAACCGTTAAATGATAAACCCTTTCTGTATGGAAATTCATTGCAACAAATTGTTTAATTATACTATAATTAATTTTTTCGTAGTGCAACTTTTAACGGCAAAATTTCAAATTATTTACTGACCGTTAGAAAATTTGAATTACAAAAAATCGTTAAATGATAAATCCTTTCTGTATGGAAATTCATTGCAACAAATTATTTAATTATACTATAATTAATTTTTTCGTAGTGCAACTTATAGCGGGAAAATTTCAAATTATTTACTGACCGTTAGAAAATTTGAATTACAAAAAATCGTTAAATGATAAATCCTTTCTGTATGGAAATTCATTGCAACAAATTATTTAATTATACTATAATTAATTTTTTCGTAGTGCAACTTATAGCGGGAAAATTTCAAATTATTTACTGACCGTTAGAAAATTTGAATTAAAAAAAACCGTTAAATGATAAATCCTTTCTGTATGGAAATTCATTGCAACAAATTATTTAATTATACTATAATTAATTTTTTCGTAGTGCAACTTATAGCGGGAAAATTTCAAATTATTTATTGACCTTTAGAAAATTTGAATTAAAAAAAACCGTTAAATGATAAATCCTTTCTGTATGGAAATTTATTGCAACAAATTGTTTAATTATACTATAATTAATATTTTCGTAGTGCAACTTTTAACGGCAAAATTTCAAATTATTTATTGACCGTTAAATAATAATCCTTTCTATATAAGCATTCATTGTAACTTTTTGTTAATTACACTAAAATTAATGATCTTCTAATCTTCTCATGATCTGTAAATGAACGCAAAATAATTACATAATCAAATACTGATCGCTAACACAAAAATGCGCTTAAGTCCCTCGATCAATAACACGAGGACTTCTGTAATTTTTTATATTTTAAAACACTTTTTTATAAAGCTTGGCTTGTCTGCTTTTTATTCAAGGGATTTTGTCGACTGTAAAAGTTCGTAATTATTACATCGCGTGTTAGATATAACAATTTTTTTAGAGGCAGTTAAGACACCATACAAATATTACTCTTCTCATTTACTTAGGCATGACTGGGTAATAAAAAAGATATGCTGAATATTTTTTCAAATATTTAAATAAAATGTTTTTTTTCTCTGAGCTTTAAAACTTTGAAATTATAAGCTTTATGAGACTTCAGGTTGAAATTTAAAAGTTTTGAATACCAGGTAACCAAATAATGAAGGGCGGGGGGGGGGGGGGGGTGTAGGTGGATGCCTGAAATTTCCATCCATTTTTGGATGTATGATTTGTGGCATTCCGATGCTGACCGTACCAAATTAAACAATTATTCCATAACCCTAGCCAAGCATCTTTTGAACCCTTAATTCAAAACAACTGCACTAAAAATCTACATAGCATCGCATAAACCTTCAAAGTAATTTGCATTTCCTGAATCACAGCAGTAAAAAAATACGGAAATAACACTGCTCTTCCTCAATTCAGTCTAGTTTATTGCATAAGCTACAAAGAAGCAAAAACATAAATTCGATAATTTTCCATCCATTTTTCCCAACCTTATTCGAACAATTGAGTTGATTTTTTAATTGAAAAACTATGTTAGTCTTATAAATACAGCAACAGAGATTTTTCTGCTTCTTCCTATCAATTCACAATCATCAATAATGACATAAACTCTGAAAAAAATTAGCTCAGAAATTAATGAAAATAAATTCTCTATCTTTATCATTCCCTGCTGCATCCTATACAATTCCCAACCTCAATATCGTTGATATGATTATTGCCAATGTTATAGACAAACTAAAGGGAATATAATGAAACAATAAGTCAGTTACAATTTTTCTCTCTTTTCTACTTATCTTTAATAAGGAAGTGATTTAATTGCTTCCGACTGTTTCTTCTTTTTTTCGCATTGAATGAAAGATAATTTTTTTTTTCCGTAAAAAGCTTTTTGGTGCATTTTCTCATACAGAAAAAAATAATAAATTATGCTGATGTATGATTGTGTGACTGACTGTCATGAGATTGCAATCTGAAATGTTTTGGCTTTTATCATGATTGAGTTGGTGGTGCAACAAGCTGTTCCTGGTTGTTAAAGGTTTCAAAAACATTATTTCTGGTTTCAATCCCAGAACAAGTCGAGGAAGAAGCTAGCTACGAAGTTCGGTTCGTGGGTTGGATGTAGTTTTGAGTTCTTTGGAACAAAACGTGTCTCATTTGATAGATTTAATTTTGGCTCGGAAACTAGATGGTATTTGGCGGTTTTTCATTTTACGAGGCAGTATTTGTATGGAGTTTAGCGTTATTTGCCAGGTATTTGACGGTATTTGGGGTTATTGGAGGTATTTGTATGGAACTTGGCGGTATTTGACGGTATACCGCCTAGCTTCCAAGCCTGGGGAATAGTATAAATATTCCTTTAATAGGATAAATTAGTATCAAGAAGATTTCATTACAGCATTACTGGACGACTTCATTACACGAGTTTTGACTATGTTCATAGCAAGGTGCATCATGTCTTTAGACGAACTCGTGTATTTGCCATGTGTAAATCTTGCAAATGGTTCGGTTTCTACTATGAACTGTCGGTCTTAAGAATGTGTTGCAACAGATTTACTATTGCCTTGACTTCAGTTTAAAAGGCTAAAACTCTTATGCATTATATATATTGTTAGTAAGCTCCCTCTGAAGAAGCCCTAAAATAATTATCAACCTTAGAATTAAAATTCCTTCACAAAATGCATTTTCACTGCGCCACATATGCAGCACATCTGCAAATGACTATACTTGATATATTTCCCTTCAAACACATTTTCCTTGTTTATTCCATCTCTCTTGACTCTCTATCATACACAGATGAGAAAAAAAGCTGTATATGCTTCATCTACGAATGCCTGCAATGTCAGTTATCTGTTATAGATGTTGGCAAATACATTAAATCTATCTAACTATCTATCGCTCGTATATTCCGATATGAGCTTATTCGATAGATGATGCTGTGAGACAGATAGATGCAGCATGTACTATATATGATTTTTACTTAACATGAACATGTGAGAAAAGATGAATTCTATAGGAGATGGGATGTATTAGATAAAGTTTTTTTTTTGAAGAAATTTTTAACACAACAATGTATCATAATTCATAGAGTATCTACATAATATAATATAATATATTGATGTTATAACATTGCATTTTATGTGTTACTCCTATCAATGTTCATTGACATGACATACATGTTAGAAGTTCAAGACTTAGTTTTTTTTGCACACATCCAATTTTTCATTCAAAATATTTCTTTTCCTCCTGCATTAATAATAAAAAAAAATATTGTGTCATATCATAAAAGGAGAAAAAAATCATGTCACACATGAAAGAGAACAAAAAAAACTTTTTTTTCCGTACGTTGGAATAGCATTTCATCCTGGAATAATTGGTATTTATGCTTGGAAGCGTTTGTTTATGTATACATCAACCAGTTGCTTTTTTTTTGCTTTACTATAAACTTCGTGTATGAGCATTGAAAATGCCATTCTTTGAACTCGCCTTTTGATTGTGACGACGAAACAACAACAACAATTCAGTCAGAGACTCGTTGAGAGTCATACTATTGTTATTCTTTCTTTCTTTATATTCAAGAGAATAAAATAATAATTTTTATAAAGTATTTGTCGTTAAACATATTCTCACATATCTATAGGCAACGGAGCTGTTGTGTATGTGTCTGCATTTATTTTTATAAGTTGTAGAAATATAAAATAAATGACGGAAGAGTGGAGGAGAGGCAAAATACCAAATTATTCCAATGGTTAAGTTGGTTCTGAGAGGGAGCTTAGCTGAGAGAGGAAGCAGATTCTTATAAGAATTTGAGGTTTGTGATGGATTTTTGAATGGATTTTGGGGACTAATGACATTTTTGAATAATTATTCAAATTATAAAAATTAAAGAATCTCCAAAAACCTTATAAATCCCTCCAATCAAGCTCCAAATGATCCTCAAATGCGCGCGCAATTTAATCATCGATAAAGCAGTCTAGTAAAAAAACTTGAATATTTACCTGGTCTTTCAACTCACTTGATTCTCTCTCGCATACATCTCAATCTCAACTTTCTTATTTCATTCCTTTCTTGCTTACTTATATTCCAGTGTTATGGACCAGTGATTTTACACAAACACCAATTCCACTGTGCTTCAAGTATTTCTTAAAATTTCATCAAGAAACGACTGAAAAAAATTTTTATCCTCAAATATTTTAACAAATTTATTGAAATTTCGTGAAATTTGGTGAATTTAATAGCTTTAAAAATTATATAATATATAAGTGAGATGATATACACTGAAAAATAGCCAAAAGTGACAGAAAAAAGTGTCAAAAAAAGTTAAAAACAAGAAAAAAAAATAAGTTCTCAAATTTACATAAAAATTTTTATAGGTAATTAATGTTTTCTTCTGTTTCTTCACCGTTTTCTCGCGTTATATGCGATTTGATATACCTTTCTACGACAAAGACGTAAAGTTGTTGACGACGACAACGACACATTAAGTTGTCGAGTGTGTGATAGAGAGCGCAAAAGAAGTAACAAGAAGTTCAAGCATTTAGAAAGGGAGACAAAGTTATTTACTTTACGTTACATTATGTTCATATGTATAACATTACAAAGGAATAACGTAAGAATTTTATTGCAATGATTCAGAGAAGTCATTTATGTGTGGAATAATTCAATAATTTATTATGTGTGTGCATACAACAGCAATATGCAATATTTGTGTGATATTCAAAAAAAAATGTGGTTCTTTATTTGACAGAATATAAAAAAATAATAAATATGAAGAAATGAGAGCAAGTTATGCTGTATAAAGGAATTTTTATGATTGACTCATAAAATAAAATAAAAAAAAAATATTAAATAAAGTGGTTTCGCATTACGCGTTACATGTGGCAATTAAAAGATACTTAAAAATTCATTTTGCTAACATAATCATTGAATATCAATTAAATAATGCCTCAATTAACGGCGACGTGTGTTGAAAACAATGTGAATTAAGCACAATTGAGTCGAATTTAACTGTGATGTAGAATGAAGGTATTAAGAATTGTGGAATTTTACTTCATACTCTTGGCCTATTAAATAGAATTTAATCTTATTAGAGACAGTGTTGGACAAGCTCTTTGTCGTCAAGTTAAGGTGTGGTGTGAGAAAAATTACTAACCTCAGGACTGGGTGTTTTTAGGTCGGGACGGGGGGTCTTGCGAGATGTTGTGACAATTCTAAAGGGTCGATCACTTATGACGTCCATCAATTGGGGGGAGAGGGGGGTCAAAAAATTTGAGACTCATTGTGACAGGGGAAGGAAAGGGTTCAGGAAATTTGTGACATATAATTTTTTAATCAGGAAATTATAATTAATTTTTGTCTTGAATTGGACGTCACAGGGGGGGGGGGGGTTATTGACATCTGTGACAGAGGGGAATTTAAAAATTAGATTTTTTGATGGACGTCACAAATGAATGGCCCCTAACCAAAAAAAGTCACATCATATTTATTTTTCTGCAGCATCGCAAATTATTGACCAACCTCACTCTACCCCCCCTCCCCCCTCCAATCCTCATTATGTACAAATGATAAACATCGTGAATGAACAACTTTAAAAGAAATTTATTAATTTACATAATATCAATGTCCCAAAACAGAAAAAAGTTTGTCCACAACTGCACCACAACTGAACGCTGATCTCATGAAACGATAGACATTAAAAGTGTTTTATTGGTTTTGCTAAATAATGAAAACGATTTTTTTTTCTTTCTCAATTAAAGCTCAATGATACTCGAATACTGTACGGAATGTTTCTATTTGCTCAAAACCTGTAACTGAATATTCTCTCAAAAGTGCACTTAACTCTGTCTCATTCACCCGTGAGACTTTGACATTTTATTATTCTCTTGACAAAAAGTAAAATAAATCCAGGATATTTCGAATGTGGTTATAAAAGTTTCTTTTTAAATTGACTCTTAATAAAATTATCTATTAATTTTTTTAATTTCAAGAACATAAGTTTGGATAATAAAATATTTAATAATTTGATAATTTGGATAGCAAAAAAGATGTGTGTTGAAAGAGAATCTGGTGATGAAAATTATTGTGAAATTGAAGAATATGCAATAAAATGGAATTAATTATTTAGGAATTTTTTGTGTAAAGAATTAAAAGACAGTTATTAAAAAAAAAGACACTGGCAATCAAGTTATCAAAAATATTGATGAATTCTAACGGGAAAAAATTGCGTAGAATTTTTATTAACTCAACAAGTGTGTAAATGGATCTTACCAAAAACATGTTTGATTTATTCTCTAGGTCAAGTTTCATTTTGGAATATAAAGAGAGGAGCGTAGCTTGGGATGTCTGGGCCTCTCCTTTGCTTTGATACTCAATTGCGTATCAAATGGAAAGTTAAAATTTTTTTAATGAAAATCGAATTTCTTGAGAATTGTCACACGAATGTTGACCCTTAAAATTGGAGTTTGTCCAATTAGGCAATTGAAAGATTAGCTGCGTGAAATCTTTTAATCAAAAATGTTAGTATTAACAAAGGAATGTTATTTATGAACGACCCCAAACAAATATCAAAAATGCTCGCACGAGATATTTTTAAAACTGTGCCAATAACTTCTCGAATCTCTCTTCCTAAAAAGTTCATAATTAACATAAACAAAAATTCACTCAAAATAGTTTAGTGAAATTCAAAAAAAATAAATTTATTTTCAAAACTTTTCTGGAATAAGATGTTGTCTTCTTGCAGTCTTGTCTAAGTGTGTAGCGAAGAATTTGAAGAGGAGGGGACAAAAAATTTTTTTATGGAAAATTTAGGGGGTGGAGCTATTTTTAGGATTGAAAAAATTTCTATTATCGTAGGGGTAGAATTCCCCCAGCTACGCGCCTGTTAGAAGTCTAATTTATGTCAAAGCTTAACCTAGATCAGTGTTGTCCAAAATGTGTGCCGCGGCACACTGGTGTGCCGTAAAAATTTTTTAAAATGACGCAAGCCACATGCTCTGTGCAACTTTGGTCATGGCTTACCCCTAAAGTGTGTCGTGGCTCAAAAACTTTGGACAACACTGACCTTGATCATACCTTGGATAAATTGCCCAAGTCAGTGTTTCATCAAACTTTTCTTTGGTCTGGAGCACACCTAGAATTTCATCACGAAACCCTAGTGTACCGCAGCACACCGTTTGAGAACTTCTGGTCTATATAGACTCCTAGTAGATCTAAACCTCTTGATTTATTAAATGAAAGATTGTGAATTACATTACTATAATCAGTGGTGAAGAAAGAATAAAGTAAATCCTTCTGAAATTTTAAATCAACTTTTAATTTTTTTAAATGTAAAACGGAAGCAATTTTAAGAAATTTCTGTTCCCGAAAGCCCCCTAATTCCGTCCATTAAAAACGTCAATCACATTGAACTCCAAAGAATGTTTATAAATAACTTAAAATGAAAAATAACTATTCAATCCCTGATTCAATCAATAATGTAAATCAAATAATTATTTGCCATGAATCTTAAAGCCTATACTTAATTTATTCAGTCACATGTGGAGTTAATTTTGTAAGTTATCACCTTCTTAAATGCCTATAATTTCATAAAATCTACAAAATCATAGGATGGAACATTTCATACGATTACTAAATTGCTTTCTATAAGAGTTATAAGTTCCGGTCCTTATCTTCATTAATGAGTCAGAAAACTGGTCAAAAAAATGTAAAAATATGAGAGAATTTAAGAGTATGTTCCAAATATCATTCCATTTCGCTTATTGACGAATTTCTCTTAAATAAATCGGACATTGGAATTTCATTTTCTTTAAAAAGACGTGTAAAAGATGTAATAAAATTTATAAAAATATGGAATTTTTTGCCTCATTTGCATTTATTGATAAAATGTTTTAATGGGGAATTAAAATTGAATGTCACATTTTCCAATGTAACAATATTTTATGAAAAAAATATGAAGAGCTGCCGATTGTTGGTGTTTATGGTGACAGATTAGTGAATAATTTACAAAATGTGGTACCAAAGACAGTGAGCCATAAAATTCCAAAGTTTTGTAAAAAATTTCAATCCCAAAACCGAATTTTAACTCAACACATTCTGCATCAATTTGTGCTTTCCTTATCCTCCACTTCAAAGTAAGTTCTCAACCTGCGTCAATAAATTATGAATGAAGGTATAAAACAGAGAAAAAAAAATTTATTTATTTTTGTTTCTATCAACCTTTCAATTCTCTTCAGTTTATTTTATGCTTCAGCGGAGGTTGAGAATTTAAAATCTATTTGTCGAGATTAATTTGAAGGTTGATTTATCATCAAACTGAGACAGAAGTAGAAATTAAATAATTCATGTAGCAAAACGGTGAGCAAGAATTTCAAAATAACTTTTGTTGATGGTTTCAGTCAAGTGGATCAAGTGATTTGTTTTGGGAATATTCCGAGTGTTTAGATAGATTTGAATGAGGATGCAGCTACTTGAGGAAATTTTATTTTTGAAAGTCATTTGAAAAATCAAGAATTTGGAATAAAAAAATTCCTTAAAAATGTGAAGTTCGGCGACTAGGATTTGTGTTTTGAAAAAAGATTCAAATGAGAATCAATAAAGGTAGCTAATCGCATTCTTTTTTGTTAATACCAAAAATAATCAGACTGCCCCTTCCCACTGTCTTTGAGATATGCATAAAAAATAAATAAAATAATCCAATAACTAGACTTTCAGTGTATGATAGGAAACTAGGCCTAAATTACATCAATATAAGGTTTTATACCTAATCCCAATTAAGTATAAGCTTGAGCATTGGATTGGCTTGTCAAGTTGACAATGACAGCCTCTGACACCTCTCAAATCCCAACACTGCAAAGTAAAATCAACAAAAAATTTCAAATTTTTCTAATCATCATTTAGTCCATTCCATTCATTTAATGACAAAACCATGCATCTTCAAACATCCATATAGCCCATAAACAGTAACATCAAACCGCGATAATGATAACGGAAAAAAGCTTCCAATTATACATCGACATATCTTGGTGGATTAATGCTACATTATCATTATAAAACAATATAAAGATTTTCTTTTTATTAACCTATAACTTTCATAGAGTCAAAACATTTCAGATTAAATACAAAGAGCGGCAAATCTGACCATTATTCATAATAAGGCATGAAATGGGAATTAAAGATGTAAATTTTAGGTCATATGATTATAAATTTTTATACATTAATAAGCAGTCGCTATGGGTTCAACGAAAAAAAAAAATTTGACAGCTGAGACATGCATTAAATATGAAAAGTAAAGACTTTATCACCTACGAGACTGAACGTAAAAAGAGGAAAGAAAAAGAAAAGAATTTAACATAAAAAATTGCCAATAATCGTACGCAATTTACATTCAAGTTTATCACTCGATGTTTAACAATCCCAGTCAAGATCATCTTCTCATGAAATTTAACGATTTTGACAGTCACTTTTCATGTATTTTTAGTAGTCATTGATGTATAAATTACCTTTAAAGATTGGAATGGCTCAGTGTAGTCAGGAAGGAATTAAAACTCTTAATTTAGCTAGAATTATTTGAGAAACATTTTACAAACCCAAATCCCCACTCTGCCCCCCCCCCCTGCCTCTGACTACACCCCTGATCAACATGACTGTGATAAACTCAAAAAATATTTTAAATACAACATTAATTAAATCAAATTAGATTTTTTATTTGAAATGATCGAATTTTTTTACGAGCACGCGATCACTTTTCATTCCTGTTTATGAAACTCAATCTTACGAAATTCCAAAAATTTTCTTCTTTTTTATGCATCTGAAATGAAATTGAAAAGACACTTGTCTAGTTCTGTTATATAACATTGTTGCAGACTTCTTATTTATAGAAATAAGCAACAAAAATAAAAAAAATCATAGGATAGTCATGTTATAATCTACATAACCAGTGATTATTTCGTATTGAAAATAGTTAAGAGTCATAAACTTGTCGGAATGAATGCAAAGGAAAGAATATAAATGAAAGTCATATTTGATTGATTAAATGGACATTCGGTAAATGTAACAAGCATGTAAATTAGTTTTTGAACATTCAATCATTCAAAAATGGGAGCATTGGTCATGTGAATTCTTTTAAATTCTCAATCTGCTTGTGATATTTACGAAAAAGTCATGGACACTTCGGATTTTTTTTAAGTTTTGAGATAATGAAAGGTGGAAAAAATCAATGTTAGAAGCAGGGGCTTAGCCAGGAGGAAGGAGGGGCTTTGTAGATTTTTTTTTTGAAATTTCAAAGAATCTTTAATAACAAGGGTAAGGGGTTTGGGTACCCAAGATTTATCCAAATAACATCTATCGCTGATTCTTGACTACAATACACGATTAAACTTCAAGATATTATTACCAATTGGGACCATTATGCTTCCCTTATGTTAAATGATCCATTAAAAAAGTTCCAGCATATTGATCCTAATGTCAGTTGGTATTTTTGGTAAAAAAACTTTCAACAACTTAATCACAAAATTACAAAAAATCTAAAAATCTTATTTTTCAATGTTCATCCCTTGAAAATCAAACGTCGAATTCTCTGAATAAATTTGAAGGGATTTAGAAAAAAAATTTATGCAACTCACATACTCCACATATTGCTCTGAAATCTAAAACTATGCGCTCCATATTGAATAACAATTCAGCAAATATTTCCTCATTGCCAGCTTGTTAAAACCCATAGCGATAAAAGAAAAATCTTTAAAGTAATTCACTAGAGTAAAATCTTTTTACTTTGTATAGGTCATGGAAACAATTTACGTCATAATTTTTTTGTTTCATGACCCTTCTTATTATTTTGAAACAACGAAAAATGTTTCAAGCCTCAGTAATCACTTTTGATACTGGTTGTTTATTTTGTTCACTGAGGCTTCAAATCTCTTGGTTTTTACAAAGTTAAAAGTACAAAAAACGAGAAGGCACGTGACCAGCGAAGAGTGGGAGGGGGGGGTGGGAGATTTGAGGGACAAATCCTCTTTCATCATTAGAATTATTTTCATTTCACTAGGGTTTTTATGAACAAATAGCAAAAATCACCCCCCCCCCCCCTCCTTAAATTTTCCCATACAAAAATAAATTGTGACCCCTGGTTAAGCCAAAGAAAATCAGAGCCAAAGAAAATTTATTAAGAATTTTGGCCACTTTTTTAAGAGAGCCATTGAATTTGCGTAAATTAGGAAAAAGTATCGAGTCACTCACTCGCCATCTAAAAAAATATCAGATAAATATCAAATTACACAAATACCAAAGAGCGCGTGCATTAAATATTTTTTGAGTCAAAATATCAATTTCGTGAAATATTTTCGATGCTCACACACACAAAAATTCCGATAAAAAAAAATATATACAAATGTGGAACGTGCTGTTAATAAAAAATAATAAGAAGTGAAATGCAAAAAAAAATCTGTATGCGAATTTTATTGAAAACAAAAAATTTATGTATGCATAAAATCTGGCGAAAATAGAGTAAAAGAGAGGATAAAACAAAAGGCCTACAAAATATTTTTATTTTTATTTTATTTATATTTTTTTTTGTATACATGCATGTTATGTTGCTGAGTATGCAAGGACATTCAATATTGCATACATGAAAAACCACTGAAACCAATGAAAACATTTGAACAATTGTTGGTTTTAAATTGTGTCATAATAATTAATCATGTTTCAAAATATAATGATTTTTTGTTTCGGGTGAATGGAGACACCACTAACTCATTCCATTTGAGCGCTTTTAATGATAAAAATTGTGGTTTTTAAAAATATATTTGATGACATTACTTTGGATGATAATTCTGTGCCATCTGTTTATTGTGAAGTTTTTGAAAAGATTTTGATGCAGTGTTGTTGAAAAGGTTTTTGGCGAGTAACGATAAGTTTTCGCATATGGTGGGTTAAGTAGTACCAGGAACTAGTTTTGAGGGCTATCTGTGTTGTGCACCACCATTTGACTTGACACCTATGTTGTACATAATAAGTAATAATTAAAAATGACTGTAAAGTTCGCAGATACTTCGGGTACCCTGGGTGGCTCTTGAAATTAGTACTTTTTGCTGTTGTACCAACCAGGGGCGTAGCCGAGGGTCCTTGAGTGCCCGGGCACAATGAGATTGAAATTTCATTCAATTTTTTTTTTGAATTTTTTTTAAAAAACTTATTTTAATCTTGAAATCGAACCCCATTGAAAAATTCTTGCTACGCCCCTGGTACAAACTCATACTTTTAAGTTTCAAATTTAAATAATTTATAGCCTTTCATATAGTTCCTTTATATAGAAAAATTGTAGCAGTCTAGGAACTCTCCGAACGTTAAATTAATGAATTTTAACTATGAATAAGTGAAAAATCTAACGATGAAACACTTATCACGTGGACGAATTACTTTTAATCACTTAAATACTTAAATAAATAATAAAACTCGACGTTTATCAAGTTCTAATGAACTATATGTATTAAATAATAACTAGATCTTAAGTTTTTAATATTTTTAAATGATATAAATAGTATTTTTAAAATACTATTTTATTAATGGAAACGAATCTTTTTATTTTTGATATGACAATATAAGTCTGGTTCCTTTTCTCTGTCCGTCTGTCCTTTACTTCACTAATACATACGCTATAAAATTTAGCTCAGATTTACAAAAATGTCTTTTGACTAGTTAAAAGGGGGAAATCAATGTGCTTTTGGCTTCTATAGGTTTGTTGGAAGTTCACAAACCTAGTTTTAAGTTCAAAGACCACAGAGCTCGAAGTCGATAGGGTTTGAGTCGATACGAGTTGATACAGAAGTATCATCAAGCCTGTTCAAAAGATTAAAACTAAAGCAATAAGAAATGAAACTCGTGAACCAAATTTAATCCTTTTCCACAAAGAAATAAATGATCTGAACTCAACTTGCTCTTCCACACTCAACAACACTGCTTCGCAGATGATTCATTTCTATTAAAACAAAATCTGAACTTATTTAACAACGAGCATTATTGTTTATTATTCTCAATACAGTCTCCATCAAAACAATAACATTCTATGTATAGCATGCTTCATTTTTATCCCATTGAATTTTCCTCTGGAACATTTTTTAATTAAAATTTTCTCGCTTGACAAATTTTCTCCTTGTTTTCAAATTGACAAACTTTTAATTTGATTTCTCTTTTTTTTTTCTTGATGAATTTTTATTTGCATGCAAAATGATTCCCAAATCAAATGAAACAAAACGACTGCGTTCAATGAAGGCCTTTTAAAACCTCAAATGGTGTCAAAGATTTACAGCCGTCATCGTCATCAACAGCAAGAGCAGCCGATACAAAGTTGAATAAAGCGAAATTAATGAAAACAGTAAACGTTTCTGCTAATGGACATTCGAATTCATCACATCATTTAATCCATGCTGAAGCACAGAAAAACAATAGACGCAATTTATTTGAAAATATTACAAATAGTAAGCAACAACAACAGCAGCAGCAGAAGAAAGGCGAAGAGAAAATGCAAAATCAACAGCCTGTGACAACTATTGCGCCAAAAATGGCAAAGGAAATCAGTTTGAGACCGCTGGGAGGAAATGACAACAAGCAGAATGGAAATTCAGTTGGATTGCTAACGTCACCGATAAATATACGACACAATGAGAATGACATAAAATCGCCTGCCCATCATTTTGGATCACCGTCTCGTGTACATTGTACATCAACAACATCTATGATGATTCCTGAGCGTGACATTGGACCAAGAATGTTGGCATCACCTCCTACGCTTACGCAAGCTACTCCATCAAATGCGACAATTGTACATCCGAATTATAAACCAATTCCACAACGTGCTGTGCTTGGACCAACGCGAGGCATAACGGCTCAAAGTACACCCGTAAAAGCACAACCAGCTCTAATAAGCTCAAGTCTAGCCGGAAAAGTTTTCGTTCCTACATCCGCCGGAATGTCTTTTCAGAATGGACATAGCTCATCATCAAATGGCCATTGCAATAGTAATATAAGCAAAATTGATGTTGTCACAACAAATGGCGCCGATATTGTGGACGATAAGCCCAAACATTTTCACGCACAAAATCCTGCAAATTTGCCAGCTCCACAACCAACAAAACCAACGACAATACAGTTTTTATCATCACCGTCTCACAATGGTCCAATAAATCATCCTCCCGTGCCTCATCAATTTCATTCTCAACAACCACAAATGAGTAACAATAGCAGTGGCATGTTACAGCAACAACATCATCAATCTGCTGTTGGAACTGGGAATCCACAACACTTACAACATAATAATCAAGTGCAACATCCGTCACCGCAGCATCACCAGCAGCAACAGCTACAGCAACAAGCACAGCTTCATCCACTCAAACCAAAAACATCTATGAATGTGAATGTAACAAGAAGTCATCATCATAATGGAAATATTAGTAGTGGAAGCAACAACAATAGTAATCCTCAAGAATTTCAAGTATTTCATAAGCAACTACAACAAGACAGTTCCTCTGATGAGAATCGATCATCGGGTCATGCGTCGATGTCAGATACAGGCGGTCATGGTAGTAGTTCACCCGGAAGTAATAAAACTGGAAATGGACAATTGGGTTCAGTTCCTGAAGATAGTCGATTAGCAGCGGGTGTTACAAGTCGTAATGGACGTTCAAGGGCAAGTACAGGAAAGCCTCGACATCGTGCAGTACCTACAAAAAATCCATGGAGCGGTAGTGGATTAGAAGATATTAAAACGGCAATACAGCAACTTACATTGAGATCACAAACAAGTACGAGCACGTACAGTAGTTTAAGTGCTGGTTCGGAAAGTTCAGAACCGGCTAGACGACTAGGACGATACTCGTCATTAGAGACAGTCAATACAAATGTTACAAGTGCCGATGAATTTGTATGGGTTGACTCACATAATCGATTAGTTGAATTACAACATCCACCATGGAGTCAGTATTGTCTGATGCGTGTTATTAGAACCGGAAGATGTAAAGACTTTTCTGACCGAATCTCAGCTGAGGCTGTTCCTCGACTCGGATATTTATTGACTCGTGCCTTAGTGAGGATTTCGAGAGAAATTCAAAGACTCTCAAGTATATTAGGTTTATGTTCAAAACATGAAGTTGCTGGTGCCTTTAAAATTGTCCTATGTCCAGCTCTTGCCGATTCCTGCATAAAAGCATGCCTGCGAGCAGCAGCAATGTTTGCATTATCTGGTGACGGAACATTTAAACAAACAAAATCTTCACGAGCTGGTCTACAATTGCCAGTCGGAAGGTTTCATCGCTGGATGATTGATGCACGCTTGGGAAAATTGGTTCATGAATATGCGGCAGTTTATTTATGTGCCGGATTTGAAAATTTATTGGAAGAAATTTTATTGCAATGTGTGCCATCTGAAACGACAGCAACGCTTACAGCAATGGGATTGGAACATGCCATTGCAAATTCCGGTGACTTATGGGGACTCCTTCAACCTTTTGTACATTTAAATGCCGGAAGAGTTGCTTCTGGTGCACTCACAATGCCTCGTTGGACGAGTGAAAGTTCGGTTGGTGGTTCGAATTCGAATTCAATTGTTGTCCATAATCAGCATAGTAATAATAATAATATGAACAATAGTAGCAATAAACAGGAACCATGTTTACTCACCACATGCGTTGGCAGTCTCTCAGAATTGAAAGACTTGGTTAACCGATCCCAAAAGCGTAGCAATCATATCACTATGTCACAGGCAGCATTGCGTGAACTCTTTTATTTTATGAGATGTTCACAGCTGGAGCATAATGAAGGTATGTATTCCTTATTTCTTTTTCTCTCTTCTCTCTTCTTCCTATACATTGTATGTAAACCTCTCTTTTGATCGTTGATGTTGAAGAAGAAGAAAAAAAAGAAAAAAGACTGAAATTAATCAACGAACATGAGAGATTCTTAAAGATACTGTGTAACATGTTTGACATGAGAGCAGTTTATAATATTTAAATCCAATTCTTCATACAGTATTATCTCGCATTACGTTTAGTAAATGCGTGGAGGATTATTGTAAAGATCAAAAGACTTTAAATTTACTGTGAAGATTTTATATTTAGAAAAACAATCGGATAAATGGAAATTTAAATATGAAAGTAAATTAAATAGTTTGTTTAATGAGTTTTGTATTGTTGAGGGAAAGAGAACGAATAGATTTAGGTATAGATACTTTATAATATTCCCAAGATATTAGCTATAGTTGATATAAGACGAGTCACGCGTGAATATTATTTTTTGGAAATGCTTCATAATTTTTAATCAAAATTTATTTGGACTTAAATTGTGGAATAGATTTAAAGCTAGGCTTTTTTTAAGGAACACTTACTCGGGACACGTGTGTGCCATGAGAGCTTCTCAAGCAAAAATTTAACTTTCTGTGACTTAAGTGTCTTTCAAAATAGTAATTATTGAGCCACGAACCAAAAAGGGTTTGAATAACACTGCCTACACCTCTTTGGTACCTCCACCAAAAATCACTAGAAAGTTCAATCGACAATTCAACAGACTTCTTGCCTAAAATCACAAATATAATTCTCAAAACTAAAGCATAGTTCAAAAATATACAGCCAAGTCCATAAACGATGCATCATCATATTGTATGCTCTGTCCATTGCCGACATTCCAAACGAATGAGTCATAAAAGTTCAAAGACTTAAACATTCTCATAAGCTCATCAAAAATTTAAAGATCATATTCGTTCCATTGATTCCGATTCTATGTTCATGTGCGGTCTGCTTTATTGTTATATTCGACACGCTACTGGAAAAAAAACATTTGTCATATTTAACTCTCATGATCTTAAAAAGAAGGGACGAGATAGAAGAGAAAGTTCTATATATCTTCTGACAATAGCCTATGGATATTGTCAATTGTCGGCTGTTATACGCACCATATTCTCATCTATTTTTTTTTTATCCATATAGCCATTGATTAACCTCCTTCTCACTAAAACTTTTTTATCCTCTTTTTTTATTAAATTGTATAGCAAACAACGGCAGTGGAGGCAACAATGTAAGCAGTCATAACAATAGTAACAATGGAAATGGTAGTAGTAATAATCCAACAACAGCCCAAGCATCTAATGCGACAAACAGTAATGCTATTACTAATAATAACATTCAAGAGCTTTGCTATGAGCGTGCATACATTGTATTACCGCCATTGATTGAATGGCTTCGAGTAGCATCGGCCCATACAGAATATCGACATTCGACATTGATTGATAGAAATGATATTATACAAGCAGCGCGTTTACTCTTACCGGGTGTTGATTGTGCACCGCGTCAAATATTATGTTATGAGGAATTGCCATCAGCAAAATTATACACAATACCATCAAATATTCCATACAATCATGGGTCAATATCATCAAACTCATCAAGTTCTAATAGCAACGATGATTATGCCGAGTGTGGGAGACGTGCAACGATTGAATTAGCATTTCGATTAATGTTATCAGGTATACCAGAGTTATTAGTTCAAGCCATGTCACTTGTGCCACCGACGACAAGGTAATGTAGTTTTTTTCCTTTTAATGATTTATGATTATTGCGATCCATTCCATTCTCCGACATTTTGTTCGACATAAAGTACATTAACGTTTTATTGATGAAAGCTGTTAGCTCGTCTGGGGTTGGCGAAAAAAAAACCGTCTTGCTTCTTTCCTCAATGCATGACATGAATCATAGTTCATAATCTTTAATTGAATTTTTTTTAACGGACTAAGTCGAATAAGCACTAGCAAAAAATAATTTTTAGAGGTACTTAAATACAGCCTCAAGCCAATCCACCCCTGCCATTTAAAACATCTGCTATAAAGCTTTTTAGAAATGTTATCAACGTCATTTTCACCTTATTCATTTAATCACTGTCAATTTTTATAGATACGATACATTAAATCATCTGGGACTCACACCACTAATGGTTGCTTCAATTCTTAATGATGAGACAGCTATTCAAATGCTCCTCGATTCGGGTGCAAATCCAAATATTGAAGTTCCCACAATCGGTCATCCAAACTGCCCTGCCATTCATCCCGAAACACAAAATTGGACAGCATTAACATTTGCAGCATGTCGTGGAAATTATCATGCATTAAGAGTACTCCTGGAACGTGGTTCAAAAGTGGAAGGTGGTGCACGATTGAGTGAAGAAAAGTGTACATTTACGCCGTTGCAAGTTGCAAGCGGCTCCGGATGCATTGAGAACGTGTCTGTTCTTCTTGCACATGGAGCATCATCGTTTCTATCAACAAAGCAAAATTCTATGGCATTTTCGGGTAAAGCACAACAAGGATGCTTTAGTGCAATATCTGTGGCTACATCACACGGACAAAGATATACTCTTAGAAAATTACTGTCACATCCATTTGTGCCTGAAAAGCAGCGAGATGTGTTGTCATTAGAAGAAATGCTTGCGGAAGGCGATGGAAATACGCGTTCGTCGCATGAAAGGCAAAATGAGGTTCCACCATCGCTAAGCAAGACACAAATTCGTGCTCTGCAGGAAGCCATGTATCATTCAGCTGAAAATAATTATTTAGGTATGGAAAAGCTTCTTTGTGTGCATGTCATGTAATAATTTTAAAGGCAGGATATGAATATATTGTGGGAGGATTGAATGTGGGTTTTAAGCAGATATTTTTTACTGCTGTTTTTGGGGATTAAAATTTCATGTTGTAATTCAATGTCAATGGAATTTTTAATCATCCTAGGGCATAGCCAGTGAGGGGTTGTCGTTATCATAATTAGAAAAAATCCTTAATTTGATGAGATTTAACATTAATAATTATAGCATCCCTTTTTGAATAGATTCATGCTCTAGAGCAGTAATGGTCAACTTATGTGCCGCGGAACACTAGTGTGCTGATAAAACTTTGGGAAATTCTACGAACCGTATGCTGTAGACGGTTTTGTGTACGATTTACCACCAATGTGTGCCATGGCTCAAAAAAGGTTGTCCACCACTGATCAAGAATCTAGACAACTGTGTGCCACGTCACACTAGTGCGCCTTGAGTACGCATTTGTTTTCCTGAAAATCTGATGAAATCTGAAATTATTCATAATGTTAATCCTTCAAGCAGTGTTCTTACTTTATGAATTCATAAAAATGCGATTGCAGATTTTTTTCATTTCCCATATTTTACTCTTCATTATTTTTCCTTTTTCCTGTGCAGTAAAAATATTCCTTTTCCTCCTGCAATCAACTATTGATTTCATGATAAAATTTCTCATAGACATCTCTTTTCGTCATTTCCTTTTAGTTGAATTTGTACTACACGAACTCACCGGAGTTCACTCGAGTGAGCTGTAATGCATTCAAATTAATTCCGCAGTGAGAAAAAGCAGAAAAACCTGCGATGCTTAAAAAAAAGTTTATTTTGCTACCGATGTCGATTCAGAATTATGAAAGCATTGCTGGTAGTTGCATTAGCTTTTTTACTGCAAGTATGTTGGATTCTATGTCAGATTTTCATTTTCATGCAGTATGAAGTTTAGCAGGAATAGGAAAAAAAATTATTTTATTTTTTTTCTACATCCAGTATGCAAATATATCACGAATAATCAATTTTTCATTTTTTTCACTCTCTTCCTCTACATTATTTTCCTTTTTTTCCATTTTCTGCTTCATTCATAAGCCATGTGTGTATGTGTACATGCATGTTTGCTACTATTTCCTCTAGCAACTCTTTACAATACAATGTATTACTAAAATTTTTCGCTCGTTTCGTTAACTGCAGCTTATCTAAATTGAGTAATTGAGTATCAATAATTTGCATAATTGCTTCTATTATGGGATGAAGATGTAAAGACAAAAATTGTGCTTTTCGATTTCAATATATAACGGTGAATTGTAGTCTAGTTACTTGCTATCAAATTGACTAGTGACCTGATTTTTGAAAATTTGGAATTTTTTTCTTTTAAAGGCATTCAAATGTGATAAAAATTAGGATTTTTAAGTTATTTTTGCAAAACAAATATTCATTTACAGTAAAGCAGCTAAAATGTAGCTAGGAAGTTTCTAGTGTCAAACTCTTTTATTTCTTACAAGACATTTAGTTCAAAAACTGCCAAAACTGTCCATAAAACTAGCTTTGGCATTTAATTATTGAGGTCTTTCCTTCGCAATGGAGAGATTTTCCTGCTTTATACCTAAAACTTATCCTACCCTCTGACAATACCTAGTATATACACTTTGATTACTGATAAGTGAAGATCAGTGCTGTTCAAACTTTTTTGAGCCACGGCACACCTTAGAGGTAAGCCATTACCAAAATCGCACAAAGTATTCGGCTCGCGTCATTTACAAAACATTTCTACGGCACACCATTGTGCCAATGAACAAAGTTTGTGGCACAAAGTTTGGACCAAGGCGTGGAAACTATCACAAATATCCCATTTATCCCATATATCCCAAAAATATTCAAAAAAATCCCTGAGCCTGTATGCATTAGAATTGAGATATCCCATCATATCCTGAAATTACACGTCCAAAACACAAAGGATACGTTAGGATATCTTTATTATCGTGCATACATGCTCAGGAATTTGTTGAATAGTTTTGGGATATGTGGGATAAATATGATATTTGGGATAGTTTCCACGCCTTGGTTGGGACAGCACTGGCGTAGATCTATACCACCCGAAGCAACAATTCCAAGTTGCGGTTCATTTCATCAGTTTTGCAGCGTTGATCCACAATTGAATTATTTTCAATTTGAAACAAAATATTTTATTTTCAATCCAGTGTTAGGGTCAGAATCCTATGTTAAGCTTCAAACCAATTATTGAACTCAAGAACATAATTAATTTTTCGAAAGCTCATAAAATTTAAAAACAGAATATAAAACTGTAGGCAAAGTTTCAACAGACATCAACCTCAAATCCCTAAACTTCACAATCCACCCTTGTAAACTCATCTGCAATCAATCATGTAATGCAGCAAAAATTAAACAGTAAATTTTCCAGACTGTCTGCGCTTAACCTACGTTCAGAGATCTTCACAACTTGCATCCTTCCATATTATAAAAACACATTTATGAATATACAGAAATTATTCTTCTCATACTTATGAATATTATTTTGTTCATATCCTTTTTGCAGACATAACAATAGAACTACGAGCTTTGGGAGTTCCATGGACTTTACACTGTTGGATGCATGCACTGGCAGCTGCTCATGAGCTTCGTTTGGATACGGTCATTGATCAATTGTTACAGGATTTTCTACAAGTTTGTCCTGATGACTATAGTCAACAATTCGTAACGGAATGCTTGCCATTGCTCTTTTCCATTTTCCGATACAGTAAAGTATGTGTTTCGAATAATTTTATTTTACATTTTTGATTTTTTTTTGTTTTGTTTATCGTGCGTCTTTATGCCCTTCAACCTTCCGGGTGAATCTCTTCTCTTCTCTTTTTGCTTTGGCTGCTGCTGTTTTCCTATTCAGCATCCATATGCATAGATATACACTTGTTTTCATGCTGCTGTTACTGTTTCTTGTTATTGTTTATTTCTTTTTGCTGTTCTCGAGCGGTAGAGGACAACAAAGGCAATACGTGACTTTTGAAATCTTATTTCGGCTTCGTGAATTCATTTGCCATTTCTTCTCGTCCTCATTCATCCTTTTTGCTTATGGAATTCTCAAAGGGAATTTATATTTTTTTTGAGAACGGAAATGAGTGGAATAAAAAAAGGATAAAAATTATTTTGATGTGCTCGACACAAATTTTTATGGCATAAAAGAGCATTTGAAGAACAGAAAAAACTAGAAAGGAATATCAAAAAATATGTTTTATTAAATATTGGCGGAACAGCTTTATGGAGTTTGAATATTAATGATTATTTTCTGACAAAGATTCAATCAGTTCTGACTTTGAAATGCATGAATTGGTGTTCTATTGAATATATACATGAGTTTTCAGTCTAAGGATTGAATTGCACAATATAGGAAGTTTTAAAAGATAATTGTGAATCAATCATTTACAGATGGGATTTCTGGACTTAACCTTATCTCATACTGTGAACTTACGGACCCTCTTTGAGTTCCTTGAACCATTTCAGACTCTTTTGGGCTTTCAAAAATGCACTGAAGCCTTTTTAGATCTCCTTAGATCCACTTTCAATTCATTTAAACATTCTTAGATTTCCTTCGATACTTTTAGACACCCCAGACATATCTAGACCACTTTAAACTCCTTGGACATCTTTGTAGAACCTCTTGTACTCTACCAGAAACTTTTCTATCTCCTTTTGGACCTTACTTAAATAGAATGTATTTAAAAATTTAAGTGTAGGTTGAGATTCTGTTCAAGTGTCATTTGGAAACTATCCCAAATATCCTCTTTACCCCAAAAATATTCAAATTAATCGCTAAGCCTGTATGCATTAGAATTGAGATATACCAACGTATCCTTAGTGTATTGGACGTGTAATTTCGGGATCTCAATTCTAATGCATACAGGCTCAGGGATTATTTTGAATATTTTTGGGATATTTGGGCTAGTTTCCACGCCTTGATTATGACCCATGATTCCATACTTACAATCCAACATCAATACATTCCTTATAAAATAAAAAAATCATAAAAATTTATCAGTCAGAAAGCTCAAATTGTTCATATTTATTTCGAAAATACATTTTAATTCCGTTCCATTTGTCTTGTTTGTAAAACAAAGACAAAAAAAAAGATAAATTTTTGAACATCACAAAAGAACACTTGTTCGTGCTGTTCATTTCCGTTAATTAAATTTTAATGTCATAGTGAGAAGGGAACGTAAAAAAATAGGATAAAATAGAAAGAAAACAATAAGACGTAGTAAAAACTTCCCTCATTCACAATGCTAGCAAATAAAAAAATTGTGGAAGAAGGAAGAGCAGCAGCCAAGGAGAAGAAATGTATAAAAAGCTCGTGGCATAATTTAATTTCATATTTTTTGTCTCTTCTTTTCTTCGATTATTTCATGTTTTTTTTAAAAAACTTTTTTTTTTATTCCATTGCTCTTTGTGTCGATTTGCCGGTCATGGAAAAAATTGTGTTTACAGAAAGAAGGAACGACATTGCTGTTGGCAGATATTTTTAGTACATGCTTTGGCTGGGAGCCAATAAAACCCATAAAAGAGACTGTCCTGCAACCGGTTAATGGGTCACGCATTGATCCGAAATTTGTCAACAATTCCGAGCTTAGTGACGTAACGTTTAGGTAAGCTATTTTTGTTGCTGTACGTCTGTACGTGTCGCGATATTTTTAAAAACCTTTTTCATGCTCCATATCAATTGATAAAACTGTCATTAAATGTTCTTCTTATTTTCTAACCTTTTTTTTGTTGTTGCTGCTGCTAATTCCCTCCATCGCTGTATGTGTTTTTTTCGCGTCATTTAGAGTGGAAGGGAAAATTTTTTATGGACATAAAATTGTTCTTGTCACTGCATCGCCACGACTCCAAAGCTTATTAAGTTCAAAGGTTAGTGAAGGAAATGGAACACCAACCGTTCAAATCAACGACATACGATATCATATCTTTGAGGTAAGTAATTTTCACTCTTTATATGCTTCCTATTATCTCGATGAACTTTGCGTGAAATAACTTTTATGCCTTCGCATTCAAAGATTTATGGCTTTTTTTATGGAAGAAGAAATTGAAAAGAAAAGTTTTTTTTTGGCTTTAGGAATAAAATGAAGACTTAATTGGATAAAAAGCTTGATTATTATTATTGGCAGGGATCAAAATAATTATTATCTTTTAATATGATTTCTGGTAACTTGAGACTTTTGACAAAAATCTTAATTGAATTCAAAATCTGCTATGGTGTGGCAAAGTGGAAGACATAAAAGCTCAATAAGAATTTTTAAAGATCCAGCTTTGGACCTCGCCACATTCAACTTTCTCTGAGATCCAAACTTTCTCTGGGTCGTTCACTTATGGTGAGGGAGGAGGGGGGTCAGCAAAAAAAGAACAATAGAAATTCCTGGAAATCTATTATTCTATTTTGAAAAATTTTAAATTTTACTTTTTAAATAAAATTACGTGTGGACACCCTTAAAAGTACAAGCTATCCAAACAATGCAGAAAATTTAACCAAAAAAATATAAATTAAATCAGTTTTACCGACTTATGTAAATTGATTTAAATTAACAGACCAACCTCCTAGATAAAAGGCTTATTCAATTGATTATTGACCAACAATCAATCCCTTTACAATTCTTTTTGAACTTTTCAAATTTAACTTTTTTTGATTGATTTTAAACAAAGCTTTGAATTGTGTCTTTTAAAATTCATGAGTTAAAAGTTTGCCTTCATAACAAAGCTTTTGTCACAACTTATTCATTATTCAACAAAATGCAATTCTATTTACAGTTGGTCATGCAGTATTTGTATAGCGGTGGAACACACAGTTTAGAACTATCAGGCAATGATGCTGATGTCCTAGAATTGATGGCAGCTGCTAGCTTTTTCCAACTGGAAGGTCTTTTACGATACACTGAAGCTCGTTGTGCTGAAATAATCGACATTGATAATGTTGTTGCTATGTACATTCATGCTAAGGTAAGTTCTGACACATTTTCGGTATTGTTATCCTCGACACTCTCGTTTCACTGGACTCGAGTGTCCTTTCTACTTCCGATTTGTGCCTTTTCAATGCATCAATAAATTTTAAACAATCACATTTCATTTACACGCTGCCAACTACAAATCTCGATATAGGTGTACAATGCATCTAAATTAATGGAATATTGCCAAGGATTTCTACTACAAAATATGGTCGCATTGCTTACATATGACGACTCAGTGAAGCGTTTACTCTTTGCAAAAAAAATTCCCAATCACGATGTTCTGAGTGGTTTACTAACGACATTACAAAAGCGTATTGAAACACGGAGACATTCGCAGGCAACAGGACCGACATCACAAAATGTAAACATGAAGCCGACTGCGGCAATGAATGGAAAAGCAAGCCACCATAATATTACAACCACAAACAATAGTTCGAATGTATTGAACAAAAGTAACAATAATCTGACTGAATAGATTCATTTTCCTTGTACATGATTATTTTGTTTTTAACTTGTTGTAGCTTAATAGAAATAAATTTTATATATTTTTAAAATGTTAATGCACAAAATTATTACAATTGTGATGCGTGAAGATTTATGTTCACATTTAATTAAAATTAAATTGATTTTGCGTGATGCACTGAGAGAAAATTGGAAATTCAAGAGATGGGATTTTGCATTATTATTTGATACAAGCCAGGTCATGCTGTGGCTAGAACTGAAAAAAGAGATATGAAATCAGAACTAGGCAGTCCAACTGCGCACTTTTGAGTGGGACACACCCGCTTTTTTGAACAATGTCCCGCCTAAAATCGTCAATTTCCCGCTTTTTTGAGCCTATTTATCTTGAAAAATTTGGTTTGTCTGGCTTTTTCAGAGCTAAAAAAGGGACATGACCCGTTTTTTGAGCAAAAAAATGTTGGCTTTATTCTTGGCTGAAAAAAGCTTAGCCATCGGGAGGGGTTCGAGGGGATCAGACCTCCTCTAAAGTTTGCCGTTGCTCAAATTTGCAATTTAACCATTAAAGTCTCATTAGAACCAATAAAAACTGCATCACTTAGAGTGTAGCAATGGCTAGACACCAATAATATATCTTTCCAGTGTAAAAATTTGCATAATCATAGGTTTCAATAACCCCAATAATTTACGAACGACAATTGAATATTTTTCAATTATTCAAACAATTTTAACTTCATCCACAAATCACAAATGGCAAATAGTGATGGTATGCATTACTTCTCGTACCCCCTAGAATGAATGAGCTACATCCATAAATATTTGCTGATAAAGCAATTATAATTTTATTATTTGGTTGTATAACAATATTAAACTAATGTTTAATCAATGCATGGAATTTTAATGTTCATCCCACATAATACTATTTACCACATTTATAGCTTTACTCGTATACATCCACACACATGCCAATAATTGTTAATTTTGAGCACATAATAAAAAAAAAGTTTTATTACATTTTATCGATTTTATTTCAATGATGAGTGGAGTAAGGAGAAAATTGTTTATTGCTTAACAATTATGGATGGGGTAGAAGAAGAAATTAATTAAATTTTATTGAAAAATTATAATGAGCAAATAATTCTAATGTGAACATGAAATATTTTAATTCGAAAATCAAATAATTATTGCAGAAATTAATTATAAATTTAAGCTTATATTTGAATTACTCAATTTTGGGAATATTTAGATATGATGGTAATCAGAGGGATTTTGAGAATTTGGAGGACAAGGGTTTAATAATAATGTGAGAGGGTTCCATCCAAGCGATGTGTTCCAACACGTTGCGACGAGCTAGAAGCACTGCGATCCTGATCGATGATAGAATCTATTGTACCGTTTCCCAAATGGCTTAAGTTAATGAGAGAAATTTGAAAATTTTTCTGACCTAGATTTTTTTTTTTCACACAGAAAACTTGATAATCCTCGCTGAAATAATTTCTGGCTACGCCCCTGATATTAAAAGTTTAGGAGATGGGTCTAATGCTGGCTCTGCACCAATGTGCAAAATAAATCAAATAAAAATGCAAAATCTAATCATCTTAACCATAATTGTATAAAACAATCACACATCCTTAGATAGCATCCTTAAAGAAATGTTGAAAAATGCAAGCATAAAATAATGGAATTTTTATATATGCTAATATTGTAGCTCTACACTTTCCTTGTTCACCAAAAAATAAAATGGATTTTTTTTGTCTTAAATATGAAATTTTAATACAAACAATAAATAAAATATGAATTAGATGAAAAAAAAATGTCTTGAAAAACATTGAATGCAGTTTTGTTGGTGCTAATTTAGTTTTACGGAATGCAAATATTTTCTCTATTTATTCTCATTTGAAAATTGTAAAGTAGTTTTTGTCTATTCATTGCATATATTGTCTCATACTCTTGTACACTATAACTTGCATGAATTAAGTTAATTAATTTAATAAGATAATTATTCATGTATAATAAATATCATCACTTTAGAGTGCCTAGTTTTATGAAAGGAAGTGAAAATTTTGTTGAGTTTTTTTTGTTTATTTTTTCAGAATCAATGTTGATTTTTGTGAGTCTCAGAGTGATTTCAAATAAAATACAGGAACTTAGTAAATGTGTCTAGACTACTTTGGCTAGCTTGAACTGTCCTGAACTTCCCTAGACTGCCCTTGGTCTACTAGTAACTACCCTAGACTGTTTTGGCTAGCTTGAACTGTCCTGGACTTCCCTAGACTGCCCTAGAATCTCTTGAGCTATTATAAATTAACCAAGATAATTTATTGCGTTCCAGATTAATGATGACGGTCTTGCAATAATCAAAAACATTAAAAAGTTAAGTTTAAAGTAATTAAATGGATCATCATTCTCTTTCAGCTAAAATTAAGTCACAACAAAAATATTTAAAATTGCTAGAATTTTCAATTAAATTTTTCCAGACCTCCCCACTACCCCTTCTCAAAAATCTGGCTCCACTTCTACTCCTAGAAATTTATCATTATTAATTTATCTCTCTACACATGAATATCAAAAAAAATCCTCACACCACAATTTTTCAGATATTCTATTTTCAAATCACGACATAAATAAAAATCTCTTTTTATAAACAGAAATAAATAAAAATTAAATAAACAAATTAAATGTCGACGAAAAAAAAAATCGAGGGAGAAATAAAAAAAAATCCAATTAAAATTTTTCCCTCTTCAACATTTACCTCCAGAATTTATTTATATTTTATTTGCTAATGCATGCTTTTTGTTTGCTCTATATCTTCTCCATGCACTTCGTTCATTCATTCATTTATGCATTCATTTCATTCACGTATATGAGAACACATCTACCCCACAAATAATCATCACAAGCAGCCTTTTGAGAAGGGAGAGAAGAGCTTTGTATGATTTTCATAGCAACAATGCTATGTGTGTAGCTGTATAGAATATTTATTAGTGATTTCAATTGAAAGGTCGAAGTTAAGGAGAGTAAAGCTTCATGTTGGCAAAATGATTTTTAGATTTTCTTGAATATTAGAGAAGTTATGTTAAGACCAAGTAATTTAATTGAGTTTTTTTCATGCTGGCATTCAAGAAAAGAGTTAAGATGATTTGATATCTAGCCATTTGGAGCCTTCGTTCTAAGAGAAAATGATGATGTCCTTTTACTTCATTTCAGCTTTTGAGAAACTGTCGAATCAAACAGCATTGATAGCTAAAGCCGCAAATTACCAAAGTTGGATGTGCTGCAGTGCCAAAAGACGATAGCCATTCAGCTACAAAGTAGATTATAGAGATCCCGATCCCCTAGTTCCCCCAAAACAGTGTAGCAAAAAAAAAAAAAAGAAGAGAAACATAAGCGATAAAAAATTGCATACACAAACTAATAATCAATAGATTGATTAAGGCAACCGAAGAACATAATAGAAAAAAAATTAATGCCTTTGCTTTCATATACTGAAAAACTAATTAAGTTCTTTTCCGCATGCAACGTTTGCCACTAGATTGATTATTGATTGAAGTACTTTTATGCTGCTTTCCTTCCAATCAAACTAGAAAATGATGTCAACAACAATACATGCATGCAGGGTAGAAAAAAGGAAAAAATATACGCAATTTCTGCAAGTATTTTACTGCCTTCATTTTATTTTCTCATCAATCCGGAATAAAGATGAGTGGGAAAAAAAAGTTTATATCATTAACGTTAATTAATTGATCATTGTTACATTGTTGACGTCAGATTTTCGCATTTTATTTCATCTCCATGAGAGAATCTTTAATGTTCGATTTGATGTAAATGAAGATAATTAGAGAAAGTCAACATAACAACTGTTTGATAAAGCATGAAGAAGAATCGATGAAGTTTATCATTAATCATTTGAAAATTACTTGCGAATTGAATGACACTTTGGATATAAATTTGATTTACTGGGGGGTTGGAAGTGATTTGTGGTGATTTTATGCATGTATTTTTTACATAAGTTGGCATTCAAATTTAAAATTTCTGGGGTTACATGTGGCACCTTACTTCATTGTGGGCAGGAGCCTAAGAAGAAATGGGGAGGGGGGTTGGGTATGCTTTCTCGCTATCGGGATCGGGATCGGGATTTCCCGGGATTTACCGATCCCGATCAATCCCGGGATCCCGAAATTTATCGGGATCGGGATTGAAAATCCCGGTTTTTTAGTTTAGGAAATTATTGATGTTTTAGAACCTGCTAAATACGCGACAGAAGAATTATTGCGTAAATCAAACGATTTATTAATTGCTGAAGGAACATTAACTTTTTGCTAGACGAATTGTTGCTACAAGGAACATTATTGTCTCAAAAGGTTTACGATATGAATTGCGCTCGCATAGGTGCACGAAGAAATGGAACATTAATTGACTTAATACTTTACCTGAATAATCCTCAATATATTTCTTTAGACAAGCATTTTATTTAGTATTTTGTCAAAAACTCTACAAATGGAGCTATGGAAGCTTCAACATCCAGTGCAAATCAAATCCAACCGTCAAACATTTCTATTCGAGATAGACTGAAACTAAGCATATCTGAATATACATCATTAACAACAGATGCAACAGCAACAGAACCAAATAATTTGAAAAGAGAGTTTAATTGGTATGACAAAAATAAGAAGAGAACCGTTTTATTAGATCAACTTTACGATGCATTGATAACAATGCAGCCGACCTCAACTCAAAGCGAACGAAATTTCTCTATTAGTAACAAAATTCTTACAAAACAAAGAAAACGTTTACTTGACAAGAATCTAAATGCAATTGCATTTGTTAAAAGTTTTTTCATTAATGCTTAATTTTTATTATTATATTCACACCATTTTCTATAACCTTTTAACTTACATCTTTATCAACATTTATTTTCTATTTTTGTTTATGTTCACATTTTTCAAAGGAAACATGGATTAAAACATCTACCTTGTAACACATAAAGTATAACTAATTAATTAAGGAATAAATGACCGTATAAGTAGCAAAAAAATATATAATTTTTTTTGGGAAAAAAAGCAGAAAAATGCTGTTTTTTAAATTTTTTTACATATTCGGGATTCCCGGGATTTCCCGGGAAATCCCGAAAAATTTCAATCCCGATCCCGATCCCGAAAATTTGTCGGGACCGGGATTTCGAGAAAGCATAGGGTTGGGGAGTTCGATGTCAAACGTCCCTATTTTCAGAAAGTTTATTCTCGATTTTATTTGACTTATTTATATCCAAACCAATCAAATAATGCATTTTTTCAGAAATTTTCATGCTTCGCCCTGCTGTAGTATGAGTAGCGCAGGATGCATTGAATAACTTCGCTCCTCTAAAAATACTTCAACTTCTGAAGTTCCAGTGAACTTTTGATTTCAATCATTCTCGATTTACGATTTATCGAGCAATAATTACAAGCTTTCTATAAAAACTTCTTATGTATAAACATTTCCACATAATTCTTCATTATCCTTATAAACTAGATAAAACAACCATAAACTAAGGGGCCGTTCACTAAAGACATCAATCAGGGGCGTAACCAAGAATTTGAAGAGGGGGGACAAAAATGTTTTTTGCATGGAAAACTTTTAGGGGGGTGGGGGTTCTAGTTTTCATAAAAACTCTAGCAAAATGAAGAAATTTCTCAAGATGAAGGGGGTCTTGTCCCTCAAATCCACCCCCTGGCTACGCGCCTGACGTGGTCCATTAAAAAACATAATTTTTAGACCCCCTCCCCCCTTTTGGTACAAAACTGGTTCAAATGTCCACATCCCCACCCCCTCATCAAATGACACAAAAAAATTGATTATCTTACAAAAAATTGGATCTCACAAATTTCCCGACTCCCATCCCACCCTAAATGTTCGACATCATAAGTGAACGATCCTCAATGAGATTCATTAATTAAAAGACAAAAACAGCGGAATGAAAATCTCATTAATTGATTTTTTTTTTCTATTCGATTGAGCTTATGTTCTCGATGAGAGAATAAATACGAAAAAAATAAGTTAAACATAATGAATGAACAGTTTGTTGCGGTCAAAGTTGTTTTGTTTTATCTCGTTTTAATTAACTATGCAACTATGGAAATGAGAATTATTTATTTTAATTTATCTGAAATGTTGTTCGAATTAAAATTTAGCAGGGGTGTATTTATATTCGGGGAATGACTGATTATTGACTTTAAAGTATGAGGCTAACATTTAAGTTTATTATCTTGTCTACATCTTGCATCATAATTAAACAATTTTCACTCTTCCATACTTTCTCGTTTTCCCAATGTTTGAATATTCTGTTTTTATACCTTATGAAAAAAATCTACTAAAGCTTAAGTAATAAAAGAGTAAAAGCTTTGTTATACGGAAAGAATAAAATTCACTTTGATCTCTTTTTGACTGAAAAATTTTAATTGCAGAAAATGTTGAGTCATTTGAGGCGTAAGTAATTTTTTTTAGCCTAGATTGAAAGTCAACAGCATTGTAAGTTTATCCTTTTGAGATTATATAGTAATGAAAAGGAGAGCAATCGTAAATAAAAGTTTTATTTAATTTCAGGACTTCCAGGAGTTATTATAGGAAACTTAAGGTTGTTTCTGTTGATCTTCTTATAACTGCTGCATGTATACATTAATGTAAAACAAGCCGAGTTCAGTGAGAATCGAATCCACGACCTCAAAAAAGACGATTTCTGATTACTCGACTAGAGATCCCCGCCACTTGGCCAACGAGGTACTTATCTCATTTCGGCTATCCGTCATACATATACATCCAGTTTCACAGTTAGATCTACGCTCAGACCTATCAACACTCGATATGCTTTTCGTGCCATATCCACAAATTCACTGAAAATAAAAATCTAGGCGAACGTAGGAACTTTGATAGAATTTTTTAATACTTTCATTAAATTGCTTT